CATTCTGCAACTTTTGTCTTTTAGTGCAATTTTTTCAGCTGAATTCAGCTCATTCAACTGGTGTAATTAATGTGAAATTCAGCTGAATTCTTCATAATTCCTCAATTCTACAAACACAAGTTTGACTACTGTAAATTGGTTTTGTTAGTTAATCACCGACAGTCTCTAGGGATCATCAGTTAATCAACTAAATGGTAACAGAAGTTGTGTGGAATTTGGAATGGATTTTGATGACTTTTTTAAAAACACACCATTTGGCATTTGAGTGTGTGGAATTGATTTGTGGAATCCTGTTGATATTTGTGGAATCGAGATAAATGATACATATCACTCTTTGAAATAACCTTATTTATTTGTATTTGTTTTAGTCTCAGCCATGGGATTAAAACCAATGTATAGAACTCATATCTAAGCCTTTCGATCCATGCAACAATTTTTTTTTTTTAGCGTGGGGATTCCAACGGCTTTCTATGCCGAAAGACTAATCCCATGGAGATCCCAAAAAAGCCTTTCGATCCATGCAACATTATTGTTATTCTCTTTTTGAAAAATATATAGTCTTTCTTTATTATAAAAAACCATCAAAACAAATTATATGATTGATTTATCCTATGGTTTGTGCAATCTTCAATACAAATAAAAATACAATAAAATATTACAAGGTCTGATAATTTACATAGTTTAATTTTTTTTTATATATATTTAAGAATAATGTATTTTCAATTTATTATGTTTTTGAGTTTATATATTTAGATTTTCTTTTTTGTTAGTTAATAAATTACTAATATTATAAATGAAAAAAATTCAAAGGTCCTTACTAATTTTAATAGTTAATAATAAAAACATATTTGTAAATTTTGTTAAAATAAAAATAAAAGCAAAAATGTTAATGAAAGAAGTTGAATTTAAGAAAGAATTCAATAAATATTATTATATTATGTTTTGTCAATTTTCAATAAATATTATTATTTTTGTAAAATTAATACATTTATGAACATAAATATTTAATTTCAACAAACACAACTA